TTTTTTTTCCCCCCGGAACCAGGGATTGAACTCAGACCCTTGTGCTTGTCAGGGAAGCGCTCATTCCACTAAGCCATCTCCCCAGCCGCTAAAATAAAATAAAATTTAAAAATGCATGAGCCTGCCCCCCCAAAAAAATGCATGAGCCTAAGTTCGCAGTCTATATGGTGATTCTCAGAACAGTCTACATCCTGTAAAGCTCAATGACGAGACTGAGCATACAATGCGTGCGGGTGACATAAAAAACTCTAGCACGTTCCTGTCTCCTAAGCAGGGCTCTTTCTTTGCCTACTGGCCATTCTGGTGCAGCTGCTCAGCAGGAACCCCGCAGGCTCAGCCCCACATGTTCAAGTAGACACAATCTAGAATGTTTTGGGCCGGCGAGGTAGTTCAGCGGACTAAGTGCCTGCTTTGGCAAGTTCAGGGAACATGGTTCAATCCCTGGTCCTACATGCCTCGCCGGCCCCGCCCCCAGGTCACGCTGAGCCAGTGACCAAGTCCTGGCATGGTGGCCCACGCCTGTAATCCCAGGATTGGGGAGGATGAAAACAGGAGGATCACTACAAGTCCGAGCTGCGCAGTGAGACCCTGCACCAAACATAAATTTAAAAAAAAAAAAGAAAGTTCCTCCTCCGTTACCACGTCCTCCAATGACGACCAATCAGAAGGAGTCGCGTCACTAGTGGAGGGTGGGCAATCACGTTTGGGGTTTCCGGCATGGGGTCCTGCTCTAAAGTTGTCAGGGCCAATGGCATTTGTGTATGCAATGAGCCAATGAGCATGCGGCGTACTGCGTGGCACTGGGCGGTTGCACACACAGTGCGTGCACGAGGAGAGGAGCGCGAGAAGCGAGAAGCACGAGAAGCGAGAGCGGTGTCTACCCGAGCGGTGTCTACCCGGCAGGACTCGTCATGGTGAGCCATGCGCAGAGGGCCTGGAATGGTTGGGAGGGACAGTAGGATGTGGAGGATATGCCGTGGGTCCCAGGCAGTGAGGTGGTCGTTGGTCTTGAAGTGAGGATAATGGAACACGCTACATGATGTAAAGTCTTAACTGCTTCCGTTAGGGGCATCTCACAGTATTTTGTTGTTGCTCTCTTTTTTAAAGACCAATAAAATGGTATGTTCATTCTCCCTTCCCGGTTTTGCACGAATGATAGCTCACATACACTTTTTTTTGGTACTAGGAATCAAACTCTCAACCTCACGGATGCCAGGCAGGCACTGTGCCTCTGAGCTACATCCCTGGCCCTATCACATACTCTCGTGCATCATGCTGGGTCTCCTGGTCCATCTGCCCATAGAGGCTGGTGCTGGAAGATCGCTGTAAACAGCGAGTCCCTCTTAGGAAGGGAGGTGGGGGAAGGGAAAGAGAAGCAAGGAGGGAGGGAAAAGAAGAAGGAGAGGAGGGAGGAGAAAGAAAGAAGACC